ATCCCCAAGCCTGTCACTTGGCTGAACAGTCCAGATCCATGTCCCTGGGTAGACTGTCAATGAGGCAGAGACGGTGTCTCTGGCATTAGAGAATTTGCAAACTCATTCTGTGGGCTAGAGGACCCCAGGCCACCGGGTTGATACCTTTGGGTCTGGGACGATAAAGTCAGGATAGTAGATCTTGTTGATTTTCAGCCAGCTAGGTATCTTGCTGGGATCCTGGAGGAAAAAAGATGCTCTCCTATATTCCCAAGCCAAAACCAGACTTAAGCCCCGTCTTGGTCATGGGATTGTGAGAAGTGACTTAGCACAAAAGGCTGACCCTCACCCCACAGGATCCTCCCTGCCCAGAGAGGGTGTGGCCTTGAGGGCATGCAGCCCAGTTTCCACAAGGTAGGCACTCAGAGACTTTGAAGCCCTAATACTGTTCCCATGGCTAAGCAGCAGCTCTCCTGTCTGTGGAAACAGATAAGTGATACCTGCAGTCCCCAAAGTGCAGCCTGTCTCAGTAATGATGGCCAGTCCAGAGGCCAGGGCCAACCAGGTCCCTTCCTCACCTTGCTGATTTTCACCATGTCCAGCTCCTTCTGCAGGCGGGCCAGTGTTGCATCATCATGGCCACCTGAACACTTGGTGACTGTGCACCACTTCTGGCTGCTTGGATCGTAGCAGCCCATGAGGAAGATGGACATCATGCCACCTGGGAGGGGGATGAGTTAAACTGTGGATGGAGGGAGCCATCTCTGCCAGCCCCACGTGCCCAATTAGAGACAGCCTGTTGGAAAGGGCTGGGCCTTGGTGTCAGAGTGCCAGAGTTTACCTGTTTCTACCTCTTACTAGCTGTATAATTTAAGCTTTATGAGCTCCAATTTCCTCTTCAGTAAATTAGGAATAATCACGCATAACTTGTTAGGCTCTGGAGAGGAGAACAAGGAATTGAACAGTGCCTGGCACATAGTAGATTGCCTAAAAGTACTAGTTCCTAAGAGCCCAGCTTTCCCTCCAGTGAGCAAACCAATTTCCCTGAGGAGAAGGCTATCATGCCCTGAAGAAATAGTTGGTGAGCTTCTTTGTGCTAGACTAGCACAGGGTATTCTTGTCTGATCTCTCCCTGCCTAAGTCTGTAGCTCTCAGATATTGCTGTCTGATAGGACATGGGCTAGGTTGGGGCCCCTGATCCCAAAACTTTGGAAGTCATGACTAGCCTAACTGGTAAATCAAGCCAGTAAAAAGGCCAGCCTCTACCTTCCGTGGTGCCTTTCAAATAAGTGCCATCCCACAGGCCAGAGGCCACCCTGACCTTTGCTCCCTTGCCCATAGAAGGCCCCAAGGACCACCAGGTCAGCTGTGTCAGCCATTGCCCCCTCATTCAAATAGTCTTTCTTCACTTTCAGCCAATGCCGCTTTCCAGGCTCATATGTACCCTGAGGGGAAGCAAGAGAAACCATGAACTAGAATGGAAATTCCATGAGGGCGGGATTTACCTCTTCACTCAATATATCAGATCTATCAGTGCCCATCCCACCCTGGGGAAGAGCCCTTAGGCTCCAGGCACTACAGAAGACACACACTAACCCATTCTCTAGATCCAGAACAGAGGTGTCCAAACTCTGGAAAGATGACCCCTCAGCACCCACCCCCCAACACCTCAGACCGCCACTGCCATCTCCTGGCCAGGGCAGGAAAGGATCAAAGGAGAGCTTCAAGTCTACAGGAGAAAGCAAAGGATCTTACCTTCACGTCTTTCAGCACCAGCCCTTCCAATCCCTCTCTGATCACCCGGTTTATCATGTCAACCAAGTCTGAGACTTTCTGAGGGATAACAGGAGAGATGTTGAGAGTAGAGAGAGTGTGAGAATTGAGAGGGTGCTATGGGAGTAAGATGGAGGTTGTTCCTTTTCTCACACTAATAAAGTGCCCACTGCAAACACCCTGACTTGAATACAAGGAACAAAGGGCTTGCAAAGCAGGGACCCTACCTAGGGTGTTTCATACCCTGCCCTCCTAGGTGGAGACTAGTAGACAACATATACATATCAGCAGCCCCCATAAGAAAGTAAGACTCACTCCCAGTCACATCTAAGCCAAGGAGTTCTCTACCCTGCTGCTCTTAAACCACTAGGACACTGCTTTCGCTCACCGTCACTTGCTTCATTTCTGAGAACATGATCCGATTGGGAATTTCAACCATATTATCATGAAGAAACTTCCGCCGCTCACACAGAGGCCTAAAGGGGAGAGGAGAGCTGAGGTCCGGCCAGGACCCTCCCGCCCCCATTAGGAGTTCTGAAGAGGGAAGGGACACAATAAACTGCTTCATGAGAGCGTTTGCAATGGCTTAAAGCCTTCGTGTCTAACATTTCTGCCTGTCAAGGGCTACAAGGGCTCCAGTGACCAAAGACGGACAATCGTGAGCTATGGCATAGAGCTACTTCATTGTTCTGGTTCCTGTTTCTACTTCATTGAGTCACAGGAGAACTGGCCTTTAGCCCAAACAGATTGTATGAATTCTGGTCCCACTTGAAAAATGACTCTCACTCTCTTTTTTTATCCCCAGCACCCTGCCATACCTCAGGCCCAAGGCTGGCTGGTTCTTGGGTCAGCAGGATGACAGGCCTCAGGACCTGAAGCCCAAACCCCAACTCCTACCCCCAACAATTATTTCTCCCTTCCACTTCCTTCCCCTTCCAAACTCAAGAATGTGAGCCAGTGTGGGAGGGGTTATGGCAGGGATACACTTTGTAAGTGAGAAGGCCAGTACTGGTTTCTTGGGCCTAATAATTTGGAGGCAGCTAAGTCAAGACTGCTCGTTTTCTCTAAGACAGTCCCACTCATCGCTTCCTATTGTTGGCCTCTTCTGAAAGTAAAACCTCTGACCTGAAAACCATCTGCCTTACGTCCCTGTGGGTGCTATTGTAGAAATAAACTGAAACCCTACTGTGCTCAGTCTATTTCTTGTCAACAGTCAATTTTGCTGTAGCAGAGAAAGTATGGGGTGGGGGTTGGGGTTTTCTCTGTGACTTAAGCTGTCAAGAAGAAATCTAGTCAACACATCTACTCTTCCTAACACTGAATGGAGAGTTGACTGTAATATGCAGCCCCTGGCCCTGCCCAGCTACTGGACACAAAGAGGTATATGCTACAGGCCCTTCTCCCTCTTTTCCAATCGGAACCCCCCACCTCGCCACCTAGGAAATGAAAAGAGATTCCTCACCTGTCCATCAAACTGACATCATTGAAGTAGATACAATCGAAAACAAACAGGCAGACATTAGCATCCTGGAAGGCAGCTTTCTGTAAAGAAAAATGAGATAGTAGGTATGTGAAAGACAAAAATAAGAGGGCATGAAAAATGGGTAGTACCAGTCCACTTCTGAGGACCCTCTGAAGCCCCCGATAGAAAAGTCCTATTTGTGCTTTGAAGCCCCTGGGCCATTAGGGCACTTAGCAGATGGTCCTGAGTGGAAACCAAAACATCTAAACTCAGGGCTAAATTCATTAACAGTTCAGAAACAGAATAAGCCCAAGCCTGAGTGATGGATTCCTCCCCTTCTAGACTGATAGCACATGCACATATATGCAGACATGTGCATTCATTTTGTACATTTGCCCTCGGCCAGTACCTTGTGCACTCCCAAAGTCCCAAAAGGCAGTGGTTTGCCTGTCTTGTTGTCAATCAGGAGCACCTCAGAATCCAAGATCATGCTGTGGCCCCCAGGGAAAGCCTGGGGGATGTAGTCCTTAAAGTGGGCCACCTGGAGGTAGAAGGGGTCACTTAGGTGAGGGAGAAGTAGGCAGCAGGGACCTGAAGCTGAGCCACCGAAAGCAAAACCCAGTCCCCAGAAGGAACACAGACCACCAACATGTGGAAGGCCACTACTTAACTCTCCTCTGAACACCTGGAACAAGTGGCCTGACTGCTCGGTGTTACAGCAGGAAGGCCAGACGTAAGGATGCGAGCTACCCATCATGGAAATCTGAGCTAGGAAAGAAGGGGTAGCGGGGACAGAAAGTCCATCTACTCACAAGCTACTGGAGCCAGATGTTCTAGCTGCTTTTCCTAAAGATACCCCAAATGTTCACAGAGGCCCTGTGAGCTAAGAAAGGCTGAGGAATGAGGTTCTCCTGACTGAGGGCAGGAGTCTGGCTCCCAGATGTCCCACACGGGATTGTGTTTACATCAGAAATGTAAGTTTCCAGAGGTCCAGAACTTTGGTCCACTTTTTTTTTTTTTTTACTGCTATATGTCTACCACCTAGAACAGCACTTAGCACAGACTAAGTACTCGATAAATATTTGTTGGACAAATTCATGAATGATGGCCCAACAACCCTTTGTACACGAGCCGTAATTGAGCTCAGAGGGGAGGAAGCACACAGGAAAGAGAAACACAAAAGATAAGCACTATAAGTCACTCACCAGATGAGCTCACTGTCCCAATACCACGGTGGGCAAGAGAAGCATCACTGTCCACTGGGGCTCTGTGCTAACTAACTCAAGTCTGGGCTCTTTGGCTGTGCCTACTGAGCAGCCCCTCATTATCAGAAGAGTCCAAAAATGAATAAATTAATTAATTTATTCATTCAACAAATACAAAACAAACCTATTGTGTACCAGAGCTAGAACGGCTATGGAACTCTGACCTTGAGATTCTTAGAAGCAGAAGGGAAAGATAGTCCTGGTAGAAATGAAGGAACCTTACCTTGTGAGGTAATACAGGCTTGAGACTGCGGCTGAAGTAGCTGAAGTGGTCCCCATTCTTATGCACCTGGACTCGCTCCCCATCATACTTGATCTCAGAGAACATGCCATTAGGACACTTCCTTATCGCATACTCTATGGACTTGCAGGCCTCGGCCTTGGGGTGGAGAAAGAAAAGCCTGGAGACTTACAGGTGTTCTCCCAATGAGGGACTACACAGCAGGGAGAGCCCGAGAGCTCAGGTTCTGGGGACTAACTGCCAGAACACACCCTCACAGTAGGCCACTGAAGAGGTGATGAGCATGGAAAAGGCTGAGCAGTGTCATATATAGAGATTGCATTTTGAGGAATGCAACTCATTGTAGAGAAAATAAAATTCCACTGAAACAGCATTTTGGTCCCCCCCAACCCCAATAATTTAGGATCTTGCAAGGCCTTTGGCTTATTATTTAACATTTCAGTTATCTCAGCACAGGCAGTACATAGAGGTAAGATTAAAAAGTGACAGTGAGGCTGGCAGGGTGGCAGTGACCAGGGAGCCTGAGGACCGGGAATGACACAGGAATGCTTATTCACATACCTGTGCCATCTTAACTTAAACAACAGTGGCTACCATGTTAGGGTTATTTATATGTGTCAGATCACAAATATAATTTCATTCCTTCCTTGATGTGACATCTAATGTGACAGATACTGTTTTCATTTTATGGATGAGAAAACGGAAGTTTAAGGAAGTATTTAAGGTTACATAGCTAGTAGGTGGCAGGAATGAGGTTTGAATATAGGCCCAACTCTAAAAGCTATGTAGTTAACTGCTAAGCTATATAATCCATGCCACTCTTTAAATGGCAGGTTGTAGAACAGACTCCAGAAAGAATTCTTATAAAAGTCAGAAAGGCCACTACTGCAGGTGACCGGGGTCCCGTTCCTGCTATGCAGATCTCACAATTTTGGTGCTGGTTGTCCCACCTTCCTGGGAGGGAGAGAATACTTCCCCATCTGAAACATAAAACCCTAAACCAAAGCTTTAGTATAACACACAAAACCGTTTCATAAAAAGCACTGCACACCACTAGAACAAATCAAAGGATCCGACAGTGGGCATGGCAGCATTCATGGAAGGTCCTGTAACATAGGAAAACCAATGCCAGAAAGGAAATCCCATTTCTCATGAAATGAGCAGAGGCCCATGGTGCTCTCTCTCAGAGCTGGTCTCCATTCCTTAAGCTTCCTCTGTCCAGAAAAAAAGGAGGCCTAATTCACCCTGTCACAGAAAGCCTGACTCTGCCACCAACTTTCACAGCTACTTTGGGGCAGGTCACAGAACCTCAGGAGTTACCTAACACATCCACTTGTCTTCAGGAAAGATGATAAACCATTCTACGTAGACGCTTCAGAGGGTTTCATATGTCATTCACATAGGTAAACTAAAGATCAAGAAAAGCTAAGTAACTCATCTAAGATTTTATAGCTTATTGGTGGCAGAGCTGGGCCTAGAGTTCAGGTACTTACACTAGATCATGCTGACTTCTCCTTTGCTTTTACTTCCTCATTGAGAAACAGCCCTCTGCATCTCTACTTTTCCTTCCCCAAACTCCTATAGTCAACTTGCAAGGGGCTATCAGCATTCATATGCTTCCATACCTCACATGGAAGGATAGTATACTTGGAGAGGGGTAGAAAGCAAGGCCAGAGCAGCTTCCTTACCAGCATGGGCTGCACTGGGGTCATCAGTGAGGCCTGCACACTTAGAGATCGTCTCTGGCCTGGCTCCTTCTCCACCTCCTGCTCATTGTGAAGGACCCGCTCAACCACATCCTGCAGGTTGCGCGAGGCTTTGAAGGCTTCATAGGCATTGGGGTCAAGGGCGTCTAACCTGCCAATGTGAACAGGAGCATGGAAATAAAAAACACTGTCTTTGACCTTATTGCTTTGGATAGCAGTCTGTCCTCAGAGAGAGGAGGGGTCTCAATATATGAGGAAGGGGTTATGTTCTATTATCTAAAGACTTTCATAGGCAAAACAGCTCTTGGACATGCTGCCCTAACAAAGAGGGGGCTGGAGTAGGCAACTGACTCATACTATGCTTACGGAACATATTCCATTCTTTGTGATAAGAGTATTGTTATCTCCATTTTATATATGGGAAACTAGAGGCTGAGCTAGGTCCAGTGATGGGTCCCACACGAAAGAAGAAGGTAGAATCAGGATTCAAATGCAGATCAGGACTCCAAAGTCCTGATACCAGCTGGTAACAAAGGAAGCTGGCAGCCAAGGCTGTCAACCTGATGATGCACTTGAGGTCATTGGCTGTACACCTAGGAGATGAGGCACATTCAACTTGGTCTTTGAACAGCTCT